GGTGTAAACTGTCTCTGCTGTAAACTCTTTCTGGTGTAAACCTTTGTTGGCCTTGTCTGGTGTAAACGACGTCTGGTGTAAACCGTGTCTGGTGTATAGACGGTGTCTGGTGTAATCGATGTCTGGTGTAAACTCTTCTCTGGTGTAAACCTTTGTCGGCTTTGTCTGGTGTAAACTTTTCCATGGTTACTTCGTCTGGCGTAAACAACGTGTGGTGTAAACCGTGCCTGGCGACATGCACCATCATCATCATTATCATCATCATCATCATCACCTTCATCATCATCATCAGCATCATCATCATCATCATCCTTATCATCCACATCATCATCATCATCATTATCATCATCATCGTCGTCAGCACCATCATCATCATCATCATCAGCTTACGCCTTTGTTTCATTGCTTTGGAGGCATCAATCGCAGTACCGCCGCGCTTTGCGCCTGGCTGGTGATCTGGTGGGATCTCAGTGTCGAGGATGCCATTGACTGTGTGCTCCAGCAGCGTCCAAGCCTGAGACCGTGGAAGCGACGAGCATATGTCTTGTATGCACTGCGATCCTTGGAGCATCACAAGCATGCCTGGCGTTGGGAATTTGAAACGTCGTGACCAAAGTGTCGACAAAAAGCTGTGAATTCGTGGCCAAACTGGCTAGAAGGACCTGGGTCCACGACCGGAAGTTGTTCGAAGTCGGCCCTTGTTCCGACTGAATGTGCAGAGACCCCATGAGGAACGGGATCCACGACCGAGAGTTGTTCGAAGTCGATCCTGTTCCGACTGGGTGCGCGAATATACCTGATAACCGATAAAATTGTGCAAACAGAGCTCTATAGACATCTTTTTTTTGTTCGATTGTTGGACTTGAATGATATTCTTTGCTTGTTGTGATTTGACCTGAAAGACCAGTTTCGTTTCCAGAGACATTGAGTCTTTTGAACAGGTTGAGCGGCAACAAGTGGGACCAAATGAAAGTGGACACCACGCAATGGAATTCCAGGAGGCCGGCATGTCGATGCCACATATAGTCACCAGCCACGAAGTTACAAGTATCGGCGAAAAGCTGTGAATTGGCTATTGCAAAGTGTCGTGACCAAACTGATTAGAAGGACCTGGGTCCACGACCGGAAGTTGTCCGAAGTCGACCCTTGTTCCAGCTGAACGTGCAGAGACTCCACAAGGCACGAGATCCACGACCGAGAGTTGTTCGAAGTCGATCCTGTTCCGACTGGGTGTGCAACTATATCTGATAACCGACAAAACAACATGAGTTGAACTGTGGGTAATTTGTTTTGTTTTTCAAGTGTTGCATTTGTATGAGCATTGGTTGTCCTGATGCCAGGTTGGGACGTGCGATTTCGCACACTTCGGCGGCTCTTACTACCGGGACTAGCGTTTGAGCTCGACCGGCGCTGGATAAAAAAGAATCGACCGGGACTACCGTTTGGGCTCCGAAGTACAGTGCAACAGAATATACATTAATAGATTTGGTAATAACGTGATAATAGTATCATAATCATAATGTATATATATATAGATATATATATATATATTATATATTGTGTCATCTCATCATCATCTCATTTTGTTTCATCTTAATGTTTTGAATCATCATATATCATCTCTTCATTTCTTTAGTGCTCATTCATCTTCTGTTACTTCGCTTTTCTTCCCTTCTATTTGTTCTCTTCCGCCTACTTGCTTTCGGGCCACCCTGTCGTCTAGTCTTGGATCGCCGGTGGATTTCCGGTGACGGGGATCTCTTTTGATGCCTTCTTTTGCGTGCATGCTGCTGCCACGACTTCGTGAGATGCACCTTGTTCGAGCGTGCAAATTAGATCCTGCTTGGCTTCTTGGCTCAGACCCTCATGGCGCAATGACTTCAACCGAACAGATCCCAATCTCATGCATGGCAAAAGCAGTACACTCGGACCTCATCATCGGGGACACTGATCGTTTCTCAGCGGGCTTTTCTGAAGGGAACGCTGATTCGGTGTTGCATCCCTTCACTCGTCGACTGGCGCTGGATGAGGCTCCAGGTTCCACCAGCTGCGAGAGGCATGGATGTGGCCTACAAAAAAAGTTCTTGTCGATCCCCGATGAGCAGGAAACGCATCATCCTACATTCAAGCAGCGGTGGTCTGTCTTCAGCTCCTCCATCCGAAGAAAGAAGCTCACCTGTCGCCATGTTGGCCGCATGGCATTGCAAGATCGCTCGTTGGCATTAATGGTGACCTCATACGGAAAGACGGCGGAGTGAATGCGCCATGGGTCTTGCTCCTCAGCCAAGCTCAACGATGAAGATGGTGAGCCCTTTGGCGATGAAGCTCCCTTAGGCCAACGGTCAGGGAGCGAGCATAGTTATATGGCCCTGCTGGCCACACGTGAAACAGGGTTCGGGCAACCCCGACAGAATTGCAGTCACGCGTCGTAGCCTCTGGGACCCAGTAGGATATTTGTGGTCCTAAACGAGGCGCGTGACAAACTGTTGAACCGAACTTCCCTGTACAAGTTGTCAGCAAAAACTTTGGGGAGGGCAGGCGTGTGCTAAGCGACCGTCGACGGTCGACGGCGCGACCCGCGTCATCTTGTCTTTCTCCGCTAAGGTCTCGATGTTGACGGCCGAGCAATTCGAGTGGGTGATCGCCACGTGGATTGCTGCGCCTCACCAATTGTTGGCAGGCTTCATGCTCCAGTGGCCGGCAGCCATCATCTCGGACACATAGCCAATCGCAAAGTCCTCATGCTGTCGAATCCGGCCAGAACACGTCCTCAGTCCCCCCACCGCTAGTGCCACCAGGAGATGTCTTCCCGGACCATGCCCAGTCCAGCTCGAGCCCGCTTGTGTCGAGCTGGTGCTGAAGCTCAACCAAAAGTTGTTCTTCTCCGAAGTAAAACCTGTGGGATTGATTCGCCTGTGCTCCTCCTGAAGCTCGACCACTCGTCCAGTCGAAGGTGTCAGGTACCGGCCACTTCTGCAAAGGATTCCCAGCGAAGCTCTCAAGGCTCCCCGGGTCGCATGGTGGGACATCCTCAGAGGGCATGCGCCACCAAGAAGCCGCCGTAGCCGCTCAAAGAGCGATCAGCCGCTCCGACCATGCACAAATACCATCGAATACCTATCCAAAGGTCAACCCCGCGCACGCGTCGCTCTCTTTCCTTCAGCTCTCGAAGTGCTCGAGCCCGCCCTAGCGGGATGAACAAACATCAAGAACGAAAAAGAGTCATGCGATGCATCCCTATGATTGCATAAAGCATTTGAACCTCATGAATAAAATACAACAAAAATAACATAAAATACGAGTAGTAAGTAGATCGAATGAAGATGAATGAATTATATAGGCGGTCTGACCTCTGTCAAATGGATCTGGTAGGAATATGTAGAAATGCTTAGAAATGCATCGCTCGAGCCCTGGGTTCGAGCCCTAAAAAAGACAACAAACCGACACTGAGACTCCATCTTGTGGTCATTTTTTTCACTGTTGTCACTCTCATCTCGTGCAGCCCGGCTTCCGCCCGCTGGGTTCGCGCCTCGCTTCTTCGACTCCGACAACAACGTCTGGAGCTCCTCCTTGATGATCTGCCCCAAGGAGTGCCGGTCCACGCGTTCCTCAAAGATACGACGGCCACCGAGATCTACACGTCAGTATATCTCGAGGTGGTGAGAGGTAACAAGGCCGGGTCGATTCCAACGCTTCGAACGCTTCGACCAAAGTGGTGAGGCTTGAAGTCTGTGGGAAGAAAAACGAGTTCGTCGAGAGGGCTTCTCAGTGAACCCAGCAGTCCATCACTCCCAGACAAGTGAGATGTGGTGGATGAGACCTCAAGCGAAGGTTTCTAGGATAATGGGAAACGTAAGGACGCACATCCTCTCATCCTCTTCTCTGCTGATCAGCAGCTTATTTTGCGAATTGTCGTCATCCACTCTCTTGGAGAATCACGAGGACATCGGATCAAGAGATGACTCACACGCACAACACCACCCGACAGACCACTGCAGTTCACAACAGTTCTCCTCGGGTCCTCGGGCTTCGCGCACTGAGTTCCAGCACTGCAAAGCCAACTGCAAATCCATGACTAGCAGTTGCTTGGGTTGAAACTTGGAGGGTGGAAAGAACTCGGCACCTTTTGCCACAAACCCACCAGTCCGATCGATAGCCCCGGGAAAAAGGCAGCTTCCCCCCCGTCGTGTGTGTGGGCCGGTGGCCGGACGCTAGTCTAACCGCGTGAGACACGTTGGACATCCGACCCGCCTTGGGCGCCAGCGCGCAGTAGATCTCCAGCACCAAGACCAGATCCTTAGAACCCATCAAGCGTCGCAACTCCGCCTGCACGGCGCGGAGTTGAAGGGCGGGGCCATCGACAGAACACGGAAAAAAGAGAACTCCGCAGTATGGGGGCTTGGAGGTTGAAGCCTCATAGGTGCCGACCTGTACAAGTGGAAGAGGCTAGAAGAAGTCTCAAAGATACAATATGCACCAATATGTCAAATATATCTGTCCTCCTCCATGACTTCCTAGAAAGAGTCTATACAGTAGCCCTATAATGCATGTTCCTGGTGGGGGATGCGCACAGTTCAAGCTGACAGGATAACATGCTTGTCCTGGTCGGAAACCGGATTCGGCTCACACACGCATCTCTATTGTTGGCGGAATCCCAGTGAAAATCTACTCAAAGTCGTCGAAGCCTTCACCGGCCGAATCAAAAACAAGTAACTTTCATGACATGGCTTAGTTGGAGTGAACTCATCTTGATTACCAAAAGTGAATCCAACTCATCTTGGAGTGAACCCATCTTGACCTCCTAAATCCCAACCGTCTTCGAGCCGCGTCTCTCACGTTGGGGCGCTGTCTCCCGTGCGTCCCGGCCTCCGGCTGCACGTCCATGAGCCGTTCCTTCTCTTCCTCGCCGTAGCCCTCCGCGCAAACGCGCTGCCTAAGGCGGCCAGGGCCCACCGAGCATGGAGGATGACCACCGAACAGGGGAGGGGCGACGTGAGAATGTGGCAGGGACAATAGTAACTGCCTGGAAAGACTTGGAGGGATCATGGTCTTGTGCAGAATAATGAGACTGCCTGGAACTCCATCATGCTGGCTGGGCCCTAGGCTTTGATGTAGGGTGTCCGAGTTTGGCCTCCCAGACAAAAAAAAAATGTACACGGACCTTGAACTGAACACCCCTGAATAGACAAGCCGTGACAAGCCTCTTCATGCTCCAGCAAGACTCTTGACATCTATATTGACCCATTGACCGTTGCCATCCTTTGCGTTTTCGGTCCCATCCCATAGGTCTCTGACAGGCCATACTGTCGATCGCCCAAAGGTTCCTTCTCGTGGCCCTGCGATCGCGCTTCATCTCGGCGCCGCGGACGAGCTTCATTCGACGGTCGGGTCTCCTGATCCCGATATATCTCGGGGCAAACTGGAAGGATCGCGCTTCACCAGCAAACTGAAATCATTGAGAGGAAGAGAGGAGTATGACGCTGCCGCAGAGTGGAGGGAGATGTGCGAAGGGGCGAGTGTAGTGCTGCAGAGTCTGGCTACCCGGATGGCGTGCTCGGACGAACATCTGGACTTCTTGGGATGGATCCACTCATAGCCAAGTTTGTCACTCTGCAAGTGGAGACGCGGACTTCAAGGATCTACACTACATCGCTACATCGGCTATCATTGGCCTGGGTTCCTTTTGGGAAGTCCATTTGCGGACGAAGGGGAACAGCGTGGACCTCGGTCGGCCAGACCGCGTGGTCAAGACCGCGTGTCTGAACCCGTTCTTGGTCGCCCATCGCCATAGCTCCGACTTCATGCCAAGCAGCATGAGGTTTTTGGAAAACAAAAAATAGTTTAAACATTGGAGTACGGAGTATGCTGGGTATCAGGTGGCACCCTTCTTTAGTTTAATCACTGCATTTCTGCTCAAGGAGACCACTAGCCGAAGGCACCCGGTTAGCATGAAGGTGCTTGTGCTTCGTACTGAGCCGGTCGAAGTTATCCTTTGAGCTTTTCGAGATATAGGGGATGCCACCTGGTGCCAAAATCCTTCCATCTTCGATGGACAAAGGATACGTCTAGGCTCAAAAAACAGGTTCCATAAACACCATATACTGGTCAAACAAGCAGACTCCTGATCCACTCCATGTCGTGTCCACCATGGTGAATGAGCATGGTCAGCCAAGCTGAGCAACAGCTGCTCAAGCCAAACACCCAATAGAAGTAATTCTCTCGAATCGCAATTCCTGCCAGACTTTGTCGATACCGCTTACATGGATTGGGGGCGTGTATGGCAATAGTGTACCCATGAACTACGGGCAGATGACCTCTGCTGTTGCCATTCAACAGACAAGAATAATTAAACTGATATATATATATATATATATACATACACAGTAATGGAATGGATATTGTGATAGTACCATCTTGCGAAACCGCAAAAACTTATATAAATGCTTACACATCCCCGTGTAGGCCTAAAGTCGCTGAATGTCGTGGCCTGCAACCCCCAGAGAAAACCCACGAACAACAATCTCGTGCTTGTCGTGAATCAAGGCAGCTGGCACAACCCGAAATGGTTAAACTTGGAGAAGCTGCCGCACTCCGGGTTGTGGCACATAGAGGAAGTCAGCCATGGCCACAGATCAGTGACCCATGGAATGCTGAACCAAAGTTACGACGACAATCAAAGTGTTTCAAGGATGAAAGCTTGCTTGATGTTAAGCTGCCACTGGCAATGATCTTGCCAAACAAAAATCAACGATTCAAGGCTCGACGTACAAGGGTCACCCGGGTCCGTCAACGTCCAGACGCGCGGGTGGTCGCCTGTGGGAAGGGCCCTCCATGGTCCATGGCGCTTAAGGCTTTTCCCAGTGGTGCTTCGGTGGTCACCAAGAGCGACGCCAAACCTTGGGCGTACCGGACGCCGCGGAAGGAGTGGTGCACTGCAGGCGTTTGGTCACCCTTCACCAAGCAGATCGCAAGGAATGACAGGGAAAATGATCCCATCAATGTCTTGGTTCCCAAGGGCATTTCCTGTCATAATCTTTGCTAAGAGTCCCTATGACCATGAAACCTTCCTGGTTACTTCACCGCAGCAGTCCTTTATCTTTGCAGCAGAGCAACGCAGCGGTCGAGCCTTCAGCGCGACCCGGAAGGTGGCCAACGGATCCACCAAGGCATGGCAGAAGTAGCCGCGCACCGGGATCTGCGACGGCGGCCGATGGGAACGGGTTGGTTCGGGATGTGCGGCTTGGTTCGGTGGACCTGAACAAGGCCGTTTTGGAGTTGAGGGACACCTGTCACAATAGGCTGGTGTTGTATTCCTTTTATTTTCCCTCGCCTGCTCAGAAGGGTGTAGGATGTTGAGGTTATGTTACAGGGAAGCCGTAGCTACCCTGACCAAGTTGAGACCCGTAGCAACACTTTGACTCTTAAGAGATCTAACCAGCGGCCCTCAGCATCGCTCCCCTCCTCCTGCGCTGACTGATGCGCACGACGCGGGTCCCTTAGCATACCTCGTCGTCGTAGGCGGCCAACCAATTCTTCTTCACGCGGCAACCTTCACGCGGCCGACAAATGCGAGACTGGAGACGGCCAACGCGAGCGGGTTTGGCCAAACCAGGATGTCCCGGGTCCCCGTGGAGCTACGTCCCATCGGAGAAGAGTGATCGGAAGCGCACTTGGGAGAAACTCATCCGGGATTTGTCTCGCAAGTAGCCAAAGCTAACGTGGACCAAGTGGATAGGCATCTCCAGCAAGTGGGTCACCATTCAACACTGAATGGTGAGTTCTTGTTCATGTCTAACTTCTCAAGATTGCCATCCAGTGCTCGAAAGGACAGATCAGAGAGGAGGAAATAGAATTCCATGCATGGCATCCCACCGAATGTCTGCTGAAAACCGTTCTGAGATGTTCTGATTGTCTAGGTGCCTCCACCGAACACTGATTCGACTGGCTGAGTGGGTTCTACACCGTTCTACACCTGCCTAAACATGTGATACACCTCATGAAGCTGTTCAAAGATGTTCAAGGTATTGTTGGAGTTTTGGAGGTTCCAAAATACAAGTCTCTTTCCAGGAAACTCCACTTCAGCTCCACTTTGCTTCCACAGTTTTCGATGTTCCCGGCATGTGGATGTTTCTTGTGCCAAGCTCAACGAAGTATTCCGGAGTCCCAATGATCAAATCAGGCCAGCCTCAAACTCGAGACTTCCCCCAACTCCCACCTCTATCCAGCAAAACCCACCCAAACCCACCTGTCATAAAAGAAACCGAGTAGCACAGCACCGCCAAGCTCGTACAGAGCGCCTCTCGAAGCTTTCCCTCTAAACGGCTCTGCCGCGCGGACGCCAGGCGCGCACTCAACGTGCGCCGCCGGTCGCTGGGTTCCCCCCTGCGCTGCGAAGGCGAAGACACGTTCCGCTCGGTCCATGGACTAGATAGATGCGAAGGCGAGTTTGAGTTGGACTTGATGAATTTCCCCGTTGGTTGACAGAGCTTGATCTCTGCTTGACACGTGTTGTCACATTGCGATTCTCCACAGATCGGGAGGCCAAGAGGGTGGGGGATCCAAAAACAAACAAGGATCCAAACAAAAAACGAAAGTGTCAAGAGAAAAACAAATTTAATAAGGATCAAAAACAAAAAGTCCCAGAATTCATGTTGGATCTTGAATTGTTCTTCTTATTTGATGTTGTTTTTTGCTGCTGGTATAGCTCGAAATGCAGATTTCCTGGTGAGGGAGCAGCGTTATGTGAACCTCCGAGTGCACTTTGGGAAGCACGGAGCGCTGATCTTAACATCTAGGTCTTATGTCAGATGGCAAAAGCCTGCTGGCCCTTAGCATCCAACCTCGGGTGGCTCACAGAAGATGTACTATGTTGGAATGGTCCCTTTTCTTCTTTAAATGTTACCTTGGCAGCGCTTTGTAAACCTCGCTGATCATAGAAAGATTACGAAAGAGACACTACGCTACAAAAAGACGATAAGAAGGGAAAAAGGCCAACCAGGAGAAACAGCTGGAAAAACAAAGCAAGCAAGAAAGAAGGCACAAAAAGCAGCAAAAGAAAGGAAAGAAAGAAGATTCACAAAGAAAACACAAGCACAGAAAAGCAGGAAAAGCGGGAAATGCAAAAAGCTGTGGGAAGCAACACAAGCACAGAAAAGCAGGAAAAGCAGAGAAGCAGCGAGAAGGAAGGAAAAGCAACAGAAGCACAGAAAAGCAGGACAGCAAGAAAAGCAGAAAAGCTAGGAAAAGCGAGACAAGCACAGAAAAACACAACACTAAACAAAAAAGCAATAACGAAAACACAATATAAATACCCCTCCAAAACAAAACCTTGCGATGGTGCAATCAAACAAAGGACAACGAGGATCAAAAGACACGACAAAAACGGATCACGAATAAACAACAGTACCGTGTGCAGTGGCAGCGTCAACAAAAGTAGGAATGGAAGAATCAGAAAAGTTAAACAATAGTAGCAGTAAACCCTATGCTAGAAAATGTGGTTGTAGTAGTCCTGCTGGTGGTGGTGGTGGTCGTCGTAGTAGTAGTAGTAGTTGTAGTAGTTGTTGTTGTTGCTGCTTTTGTTGTTTGTTTTGTTCTTGTTAAGCACACTTTATGTTGGCCAAGAAGCAAAATAAAAGCATTGGACATGACTATAGGTGGGCCACTAGGTGGGCCCTATAATCATCAACCCGGTGCTTTGGCTTTGGCAAGGAGGCAAGATACAAGCATTAGACACCCTATCGTCCATCAGATATGTCATCCACCTCTGCGGCGCAGTCACAGCAAGCAGGCTTCGTAAGCGGGCACAGTTTGTCGTCTTGGCTGCTCCGAACCCCTACGTACTCTCTCACACGTGTTGATTCTCTGACATATTGATTGCAGTATGTTGCAGTTGTAGACTACAAGATCATGATAGCAGCACAGGGTGGGTGTTGAAAACCTGATTTCATGACAAACATATATAGATTAACATGTTGTTGCGCTGGAGGGGGTTGGAGGGGGTTGCGGGGGGAGGGCGCAGCGCCGAAAAAACCATGGCGTTATGGGTGTGTCCAGGGATAAAAACCGGATCCTAGCACCACACAGAGCAAAGTGCAACATGTCCACGTAGAGCCGTAGAGCATTTCACTGTTGTGTCTTCTTTCTTCCCTTACTTCTTTCCTTCTTTCCTTCTTCCTGGTCTTGTTTTTTCTTGATCCCTACTTGCTTTTTTAGATCCCGGCGGGTGCTGGACCCATTCCCTGGCGAATGCAGATCGGAGGCCAGATCTGAACCAACCAATTTCGTGGATGGAGCTTTCTCAGCGTGATCCTCGTTTCTTGTTCTGTGACTAGAGGGATTCACCAAAAAAAGGGGGGTTGCATTCCTTGATTCTGTCGGAGGTGGCTGCGGCAGGCGGGACGGCCTCGTTTTGCGCTCGCTTTTCAACGACCGTCGAGCCTCGCCTGAAGGTGAGCACCCGCTTCCCGCCCAAGGTCTGGTCTTCTTCTGCCACAGACCTCCGGTCGGCCCCATCCGGTCCAAACGACGGTGCCTGTCGACCCAAACGATCCGAACGAGCCGAAGGAGCCGAAAAGAGTGGCATGAAGCGATGTGTTTCTTCCAGCAAGCTTAGATTCGTTGTTCTTGGACAAAGAATGTGGTATTCTACGGTGTGGTTGGATCAAAGTCCCAATCACCGTGTCGAAGCGGCAGCTTGTACTTGACTACACAGGGACTCGCGGAAACCAAAAACCTATGTTAGAGCATCCTCCTGACAAGATTCTACACTATTGCTGATGTTTTCCTGCTTGCTGAGTATAAGGTATTGAATTTTGAACTTAGGATGCGTAAAGCAATTCCTTGTGAGTCTTGCCCGTTTCTCGGTCGCGGCACGTGGGCCCCCAACCCCATGCACCAGCGGGTTGCAGGAAGATACCAAGAGTTCCGGAGTGTCCGTGAAAGAACGACATGTAGATATCGTTACATATACCCTGGGAGTTCAAGACCATGTGGTGCCAAAAATCGTCGTTGGACTTCCAAGTATATACTGTACTTGGGTATGTCTCAACGTTTTGGGCGTCCCGCTACGCTGAGACGCAGAGATCTCCACTGCAAAGACTACAAAACGACTGCTCAAAACATTAAAACGTACTTTTGGAGGCCGGAGGACAATAGCAGCTCCAGTGCCATGCAGTGGAGCTCGCCATAGATCTTAGAGACCTCAGATGTGAGCGAAAACCATTGAATCGATGACTGCTGACACCATTGGTTCTTATTCTTTGATATATGATTTGTATGATGGCATGGCAGGCAGTGCAAATGCTTTTCGGTGCATTCTCAGGCTTTTCGGTCCACCCCCAAACGTGCCTGGTCGATCCCTTCAGGCCAGCACGTGGTAGGTTTTTTCTGGAAAGATGCTTTCATTGTGTGATGATGCATTGGAAGGCGCAGGAGAAATGGAATCAACACTTCGCCAAGTGCCAAGTCATACGTCCAATCCAGCATTCTCCTCTGTCGGACAGTCTTCCAGGTCCAAAGTAATCCAGTATAGTTCCATGCAGTTACCGTGAACACACCGTTACCTTTGTTTCTCTTTCTCTCAAGTCTCTTCGTTGCTTCCACGTGAGGATCCTTCCAAAAGGTCAGTCCCAATCTACTGGAGCACGACCACGTCCACGTGCGTCGAATCCGTTGGAGCTGGGGCGCGTGTCTGGCACAGAGTTCACGCCCCAAGGCATAGTCCTGCCAAGCCGGTGGCTGTTGTCCAGCGTGGCACTGATGTCTGCGCCATAAATATGCCATAATTCCAAACCACCAGAAAGACAAGGTCGTTCAAAGGAGGTTGCTTGGGGGCTTCCGAACTCGTTTCAGTGGTGAGGGGATGAAAATGTGTGCCACGCCACAAAAACAGAAACCAAGCGCCAACCTGGCAACCCTCATCACTTCCTACTACATCTCCCTATGTCCAAGTGGCTTTTAGAGACCAAATGCAGAATTGGCCGCTGAAATCTACAGCGAGGTATGTCAAACCAATCTCCACCTATTCACCAACGCAAACGCGATGGGCGGATTTGGAGTGTGAACCTTGCAACGTCCCCCGCTGCCGTCGCGTTCCCCAAAGCAGTTTCAACTTGATGACAAGCTTGAGATTTCGGACACCGTTTCAATCCTCAGAGTTTGGGGGGGTCTCGAACTGGGTGATCCCCTCGTTTTGGGGGGGCGAAAAGACACCCCTTTGATCGCTTAGAAAACCACAGCCCACAGTCATTCACGTTCCGCATCCCCACAGCGGCACAGCGGCACAGCGGCACAGTCCTGCGACTCCGTGGCCTTCACATACTCCCGGTGCCTCAGATGGCGCCGGTGTGCCGGACCGCCAAGGGGATCGTGGACCCGAGCCCAGCACGACGGGTCCGGTGATCGACGAGAACGGTCGCTCAGGATGGTTTAGGAATGTTTAGGATGTGTCTGAACTAGATGGTCGTTATGGCCTTCTCCAGCTGCCTCCAGGCAACATGGGTCGAAAAACACTGGGAAGAGCTGGGGCCCGCCACGGAAGATAGGGCAAGGGAAGAGTCGGTTGATGTTGCGACCAAAGGAAGAATCCTTCTCAATCTTCAAGTCACCAAAAAGATGGAGAACCCGCAGTCACGTTCGACGGGGTGCTATCCATGGAGGTTAGGAGTGCCCAGAACATCCACTCACTGAATGGGACTAAAAACCACCCCGTCTTGTGACTCCTGGAAGTGATCACTTCCTCAAAGAATTGGCACCCCGAAAGGGTGACCATGAGTTAACACCAAACAGGTGGTGAGTTCCTCACTCCACGAACAAAAGATAGCTTTTTAAATGCATGAAAGTCGTCCAGCTCTGAAGCTCTCACCACCCCCCCTCTCTGCTCTTTTTTCTCTTCAGAAAGTCCAACATCGACCAAACCCACGAGTCGACTTGAGTCATGTGGGGCGGAGCTACAACTTCTCATAGATCTGCAACGCCTTCAATGCCGTCCGCCGCACGGTGGACACCTTCCGGAAGCTCCGAGCCTTCCGCACCGCTCGCGGCGGCCTCGCCGCCGGCCTCGCCGCCGGCCTCGCCGCCGGTCTCGGCGCCGGTCTCGGCGGTCGCGCGGACTTCCGCGCCGGCGACGCCACGGGGCGGAACGGGCGCTTCGGCGCGGGCGGAACGGGCGTGGTGGGCTTCATGGCGCGGGCAGAACGGCGCGTGTCGGTGTTGTATTTTTTCTTCACGGCTTGGAACTCAAATCTGAGAGCAGGAGCTGTCTGGAGAGTGTTGATGAAAATCTGGACGTGGTGAATGAGCAAGCTGCTTCGATGAGAGCTGAGTCTTTCAATAGCGCATTCATCTTCCCACATGGTCTCCAGCCAGGCCTTCTCGAGCCCAAAGTGGAAGGTTCCACGAGACCACGGCCAGTCGTGCGGCTATGAAAGGAGTCCTTGCCCAGTTGTCCTAACAGAACCTGGGGATCCCAGAGTTGTTTTGATTCCACTGAATGCATTCGCACACTGACCAGAAGGTGTTGATGCTGCTATTACACAGCTCGACGGAGCCGCTCGAGCGCGGATCCACTGACTGGTGGACTTCTCCAGATGCTGAAAATGAACAAACGCAGGATGTCCAGCTGCAACAAATAGCGTTGATAAGAGTTGAATCATGGACTACGGTCCAGTCCCATCCAAATTCTCCAAACTTTAGGAGCCCTTTCGATATGGAGATAGATTCATTGGAAAGCAACTTCATGGGTTCACAATACACAAAATACCTAACGACTCCAATTCGATGAAGATAGCGCGTCAGTCATTTCCTGATCATTCTAAGGTGTGAAGCACCTTCACACTTGAATCACTTGAACCTCTGGATTCTCCAATCTTCCAATCAAAGTAAGGCTGAGCCATCCGTAAGGATCAACCCGTTCTTGAAAGGTTCACTTTGCAAAACCTGTGCTGGCTCAAACTCGGTGGAACGCTCAATTTCTCCCCTTCCAAGGCCCGGTGGCCCGACCGTTCCGGCCACGGTTGCCCCGGTTCCACCTGTGAAAGGTGATCCCAATGATCCCAGTCCACTTCAGCTCGATCACGATTCCTGGCGCATGGCATGGCGCATGGCATGGCGCATGGCATCGCAGGGCGGGCGACCCGGTTTTCCGCACGGGGTGGCAAGGGCAACAGGCAACCATGGGCTGGGGCTGGGGTGATAAAGGCAGGAGCGTGAGGTCTTGAGCCTAGTGAAAGAAATCCCACCAATGGGCACAGGTTCCGGACTCGTCAGCTAGTGCACAGTCTCTGCTTCCCGAAACCAGAAAAATACACCATCTCTCTCTGAAGCGTCAGGGTTCCCGCTTCAGAGAGGATCATATGGGACCACCCTCTACCATTTCAGATCACAGGGCCTGGGTCAATACAAGTCCTTTCCTTTTGGGGTCCAACCGCGTCCATGCCACGTGTTGTTCGTGATGCAACTTGGATCGACCAAGTTCTCGCTCAAGAATTGGCGGTCAAAAGCCACCCGGGAGCAACAGCTCTTGAACTTCCATGTGGCCGTTCTGGCTTGCAATTTGCAAGGCCGTTGTCCCATCTGTTGTTGCTGCATCTTTGTCAGCTCCAGCCTCCAGCAACAACCGCACAACTTTCAAGTGGCCATTCTGGGCTGCAATGAACAAAGCTGTTGCCCCATGTCTCCTTACTACATCTTTGTTAGCTCCAGCCTCGAGCAACAAACGCACAACCTCCAAGTGGCCATTCTGCGCTGCAACAAACACTGCCGTGACCCCATCTATCCTTGCTGCATCTTTGTTGGCTTGAGCCTCAAGCAACAAGCGCACAACTTGCAAGTGGCCGATCTGAGCTGCAATAAACAAAGCCGTTTCCCCATATATCTCGGCAGCATCTGTGTCAGCTCCAGCCTCCAGCAACAACCGCACAACTTCCAAGTGTCCGTTCTGGGCTGCAATAAACAAGGCTGTTGTCCCCCCAAGTATCCTTGAATCTTTGTCAGCTCCAGCGCCAAGCAACAATCGCACAACTTCCAAGCGGCCTTTCTCGGCCGCAATAAACAAAGCCCGTACCTGATGCGTCCTTGCTGAATCTTTGTCAGCTGCAGCCTGGAGCAACACACGCACCACCTCCAACTTGCCATTCAGAGCTGCAATTGACAAAGCCGTTTCGCCGTCTTTCTTTTCTGCATCTTTGTCAGCTCCAGCATAGAGCAACAATCTCACAATTTCCAAGTGGCCATTCTGGGCTGCAATGATGAAAGCTGTTGCCCCATCATTCCTTGCTGCATCTTTGTTGGCTTTTGCCTCGAGCAACAGTCGCACAACTTGCAAGTGGCCAAACTGGGCTGCTCTAAACAAAGCAGTTGCACCATAAGTCGTTCCAGCATCGTTGTCTGCTCCAGCATAGAGCAACAATTGAACAACTTCCAGGTGGCCCATCTCGGCTGCAATAAACAAAGCCGTTGCCCCATTTGCTTTTACTGCATCCTTGTCAGCTCTAGCCTCCAGCAACAATCGCACAACTTCCAAGTGACCATTCTGGGCTGCAATAAACAAAGCCGTTGTCCCATATGTCATTGCTGAATCTTTGTCAGCTCCAGCCTCGAGCAAAATTCGCACAACTTCCAAGTGTCCGTCCTGGGCTGCAATGATCAAACCAGTTGCCCCATCTATCCTTGCTGCATCTTTGTCAGCTCCGGCCTCCAGCAACAAACGCACTGCTTCCAAGTGGCCTTCCTCGACCGCTAGAAACAAACCTCCTCCATTCGGTTCTTGCGGAGCCTGAAGCAGCCGTTCAATCGCCATGGCATTATTGTCTTTGCAGTTGCGACGTAGTTCTTCCTCTGCAGCCTCATCGAAAGCACAAAACGGCAGGACTACAAGCTGAATACTTGGTAATGATCGTAAAGGCATGTCATCCGGCAGTTCTCCGATTCCGTCACTGAAGAGCCTTTGCCGAAACCTTGAGCACCCAACCTCAGCTGAAAGGAGCTGCTTTAGGTCCCGAACAGCTTTCCCACTTTCCACCATGCAATGCAACTGTTCCTCATCAAGTTGAGCAACTGTTGTGCCAGATAAAGCCGTAACCTGCATCACTTGGAGTTCAAAAGCGTTGAGCCATGATCAAAACCAAGGCGACACAGACAGGGATGTAAATGAAGAAGCCAGGGAGAAATATGGATTGATGGTTGCAAATCAAGGAAAACCACAAAAATATTATATATGTTGTGTGTGTATACTATACTATTACATCAAAATAGCCAGCCAGGCTTGTGCTCTTTTTTCAATCTGCGAGACTGCGCTTTTAACAAATGGATATGTTTTCCGTGCCCAAACAACTTTGATCTGCGCATGATTTGCCGCTGTTTTGTAGTGCACGGTCCTTGAGCTTCCAAGTCGAACAAACAACTTCATCATCCTGAACTTCATGAAAGTTGCCTCATTGTCTACTTTCAAGTCGCCTGCCAGAAAAATCACCAAACCCACCTTCCCTTGATCTGCCTATACCAAGTCCACCTCCTATCAGCCGCCCTGTACGGGCTTCATGCCTTTCCTAGTCCAAAACCGAAGCGAGCCAAAGCCCATCTCCAAAGCCCGTCCGATCCCCTCATCCCCGTCCTGAGCAGAAACTCCAATCGGCTGTCATCCTGCAAATTCGAGGCACACCACACACTCAAATTTGGAGCTTTCATGTTGGCTGTCGTCACTGGCATCCCCACCCCAAAAACACTGCTGGCATCCCCACCCCAATTACTTACATGTTCTCATCCTAGCGATGTAGTGAATTGTTGATTCCTCCGAGGCAGACACTCCCCCACCATGGCCGAGAAAGAACGCGAAACCCACCGGAACGGAACGGTCGACCGGTCGACCCGGTCGGGTTCGTCGTGCATGCTTTGCCTGGCGTAGAGGTCGGTGTAACGGGTACGAGCTTGATGGAAATAACGGGTACGTAGAGTAGGTCAAGAGTCAATAGCACCAAAGCTGCAGCTTGCACCTGGACTTCCACCGCAGTTCAGGATGCCGAGTTTGCTGGTGTTATCACCATGACCATTACACTTAGACGAGCTCGATTTATCATCACGACAATTACGTACGCTTAGACTTGGACAAAGGAGTTCCTGGTTGAGGGGCAAAAGCTCCCTCCCAGAGACGATTCCACCTGTCGAAATGAACATGAGACCCTGAGGATCATCAAAAGGTCACGAAACTGCCAGCCGACATTGCTGGTGTAGCCGACATTGCAACCGATAGAGTTCTGCAACAAACAGATGTTCTCCCACATCAGCTTGGCTCACCAAGGGTCCAGAAGCTTGCGCCAAGTACCTTGACCACCTGAAGTCCACCCTAAAATCCGTTCGAACATTTTGGGCCCTGAGAAAATTCACTTCTTTTGCACCTGCCACTCTCTCTCTCTCTCTCTTCACCAACCCACTGCTTTTGCGCGATTCGAAAAACCCGGATCCCCAGATGAAGGAATCCACTGGGTGTCCCCCACATGGCAGGTGGTCGTGGCCGCCCTGGCACGGAGCACCTGCCGCAGCTCAGCGTCCCAGAAGCTCCTGAGGGTGGAGAGAAGGAGAAGAAAGAGAAAACTCTTGTGTTTGCACATAGAATCTGAAACATGTCAACTGCCTAGGCAGTGGAATGTTCCAGATTCTATTGTCTTTTTGTGATCCTCCTCAGGTCCAGGCCTAATATGGATTAAACTGTCCAATGCTTGGGATTCTTCCATAATAAGTCGTGTCCTCTTTGCGGACTTGGATGACAAATATCCAGTAACCTCCAACAACAAGAGGAATGGGCATGTCCTTTTTTTTGCACGCGACGTCTCACCCAACTCCTTTCTATCTTTGTCCGTGCATTCTCTCTGAGAAAGTCATGTGGCTAGCATGTTTGCAGGCCCACATTTTGCCACCAACAAACGAGGACGTTAGTCCAAGACTCGAAAAACTACCTTACGAGCACTTCGGCCGAGCACAAACCAACGAGTTTTGGTGAACAGGTTGACACCCAGGTCACAAAGAAAGACCCTATACTAGTGGGATCAATGGGTGTCTTCTCCCAGAATCAGCCACCGAAAAAATCTCACCCTAGAATCACCCCAACTGAGAAACCCGATCGAGTCCGCAGTCTGATCTCAGAAAGTCATGTCTATAGGTTCGAAGCTCTCTGTTTGGGTTCGGTCAATTTCCCAGCAGAACTCGATGACAAAGACGGCGTGCCGTCCGGCAAGCCGTCCCATCCTTTGCATCATGGCATATTGCACTGCCGTCGCAGTCTGTAGACCTTGTTGCGGGTGAGCGAGTGGGACTCTGTGACTCTGTGAGTTGTTGAACTCAAGCTAAGCACAGGAGTCGCATCGCTACGAACGGAGCCTCCGGAAGCTATGAACGTAGCTAAGCACAGGAGTCACACCGAAAGCGGATGGTCAAACAAATTTGGCCAGGTCGACTGCACCAAAAGATTCGCCAGAAACCTCTTGCGACCTCATTGTCTTGGAGCCAAGAGATGGCTCAGTTGGGCATGCAAGGTTGGGCATACTTAAGCAGCTTCACCAAAAGCTGTCCAGCATCAAGACCTCTACCACTTCCAACATCTTCCAACTATTGAAAGGAAGATTTCCAGTACAACCTCAGATCGGATGAAAAAGAAGAAAGGGAAGCTCCTACACCCGGCCCCGCTCCCCGTTACCATCGCCGGGCTCCCGCGCTGTCACACACCGAGCTGGACCTGGCGGTTCTCCGCGAAAGCGTGCAGAAAACGACGGCAGGATCATTCAGTAGTAGTTTCTTGTTACTATAGTGGTAAGGCCAGTTTCGCCCCGTTCGGTTCGCGTCCGATCGCTCCGTTGGTAGCGATGCCCGACATGTTCCGTTCGTAGCGATGCCCTTTGTCCCTAGTAGACTCCCTTCATGCCACAGATGAAAAAGGCAAAAGCCACTTCGAGGTGGTGGACATTGAAAGCCCTGCACGAGCCAAAGCTGTCACATCGCAGGCTGTAACGATTCATGAGCTGAACAGTCATGCCTTTGGCCCAGCTAAAGGCTGCACTTGGCAAACGGGGTCTAATGACTTGTTGAGATCCCAAAGCACACTAAAATTGCACTATATACACCCGGCATGGTCTGCTCTGATGATTCAAAAGTCCTCTCTCTTCCCGGAAAAGACTGAGGGGCAGTGACGACTAGTGTTGAAAAAGTATAATCGCAGAATCGCAGAATCTATAGATTGATCACAGTATGTTCCAGCTACAGTACATCCATGTCTAATTTCTTCATGCCAAAGTAGATTATCAAGGTGGGCTTCGTCGGGCTCAGCACCTTTGGTGAGTGACATTCAGCCCCTTCACATCCCGGTGCACTGAATATGCCTATTACACGGTATGCAGTCATGACGCACACAAACACGGACAGAGAGCAGCCCCCCCAAAAAATGATATATATATATATATCAAAATGTATATGTTTACACATAAACATATGTATATATATACACATATATATATACACATATATATACACACATATGTATATATACACATAGTGCGCATACAAATATATATATATATACAAATACAGACATGTTTATACATATATATATATACATATAGCACATAGTTTCCATGACCTCCAAGGACAACACCGACCGTCCAAAGGACACATGTGCGCAGTTTGTTGTAAAATCTTGTAGACGTGCGCAAGAGCCATGCCTGGATCGTCTTTCATGAGGCATGACATGCCTGGGACTCGACAGCACCGGACTCGATGGATCGTTCACCGGACGACGAAGGACCTGGTGGTTCCGTGGCACACGGAGCTCAATTCCGACCTGGGCGGAGCGACCCCATCCGACCGAGTGGGCGCGGTGGCGGCGCGGGGCGGCGCGGGGCGGCGCCGTGGCGTGTGGTTGTTTCACACCGGGTGGTGCACGCCGCACAGAGGGCCCTCGGATCCTGGTCATTGACTATCATTATCATGAAATTGAACAGGATCCGCTTGGTCAGAAGGATGAAGACAGTGGTTCGAGGGTACAGCATGTTCTGAAGCGGCTTGGAGGACGTGTTCGGAGCAGAAGATGTTCATCGTGGAGAACTTTGCACCAGTCCACCTGAGGTCACCTGTTGCATTCTTGTCGCTGGTGGATCAAAACCTGACGGCGTGCGGCCCAGCTTTCGCGGAAAAGGTGGGCGCCCGTACTCCGCTGCCAAAGTCCTATGATAATCGCATGACCCATGCCATGACTGACATGAAAGATATGTCCGTCGCACGAAGCCGCCGCTGGGTGGGCGTGAAGCCGCTGTTGATTTGGATCCCAAAGACGCTGGGTCGGCTTTGGGTTCGGCATCGTCTCTTTGGGTTTGGCTGTAGCGGAGTACCCAGTGTGTTCAACAAATACCCTCGTTGGACTTTGGGAAGTGGGACTCCACTTGAAAGACTTCGATCCAGGAACATGGTCCGAAAAAACGGCTTCATCATGATTCATGTTCTTCCCTGCGACGTTTGGACTTCGTTTCGTCGGACTCAGACCTTGCATCGAAGTTGTAGTCGAAGTCTTCCGTCAAGCTGGACTTCGTGAAGGGGAGCGGTTCCTGGAAGAGTTTGGCGAGCTAAGTTCTGCGATCCTCGGGTCAAGTGGCTGGAACACGAGACCCGTTTGACACCTCAAAATACCGTCCATCAAGTCCATCAACGACCAACGACAGCTTCTCCACTCACCAAAGAGTTTTGAGTGGCACTTGGCAAATGGGGTTGACATTTTGGAGGCATGCGCTATGAAGTACCCTGGGGGCCCCCTGACTGTTTCTGGAAGGAGGTATATACAATCACACATGAATCCCCGTCCAAGTGATCGTCCTGTTTGTTGGGCACCACTCTTTGTTCAATTGATCGCTCTTACCTAAAGATTATCCCAAAATCTGACATGAAGCGAAGAATTGTCTTCCACCTCTCGTGGTTCATTTGTCAAAGAGCGGCCATGCCCACTGAGTTTTTCCTGCCTTTGGCCTGCCTTCTGCCCATCAAAACCGGCTTTCTGTACAAAAGGCCCAGTGGGCAAACATCTGTGCATAAAGTGGGCGGAGACCGCTGGGCCAGGGAATGAAACCCTCAAAAAAGGATCCTTATCATCCAAAATCACTGGGGGCACCTAGCATTGGATCTGA